GGCGGCGGCTCCTCGGGTCCCTTCAATTATCAGCTGAGCCGCAGCACCGCGGCCGGCGTGCGCCTCCGCCCGCGCCGCCTCCCTCCCCGCCCGTTCCAACACCCTCCGGGAACTACTTTGCCCGCTGCCTCGGGCTCACGGGCTCGTCCGCGGGTAAGGCCCCGCTGCCTACACGCAACCCATCACATCGCCCCTCCCTCCCCCACCGCCCGGCGTGACTCTCCCAGCGGCCTGAGCTCTCCTCCCGATCCCTTCGAGGGACCAGGAAGGGGAATGTGGGGCTCCGCTTGATATCCCTCCGCCGGGGTCACCCCCTCCCCTCCGTGGCAGCAGGAACTAATTCCCCTTCAGGTCACCGGGGACCTGAGGGTGGAAATCTCACGGATCAGTGTTCCCTCTGACTCTTAGGAGAAGGGGCCATCACCCTAAGGAAGAAACCCCCTGCTAGCTCAAAACCGGGTTCGATTTAAACTAGGGCTTTGGCCCCATGACCCCAATCAAGCCCCGCCCCTTCCTGGTTGTCTTAGCGACGGCGGTGGCGTCCCAAGATGGCGTCGTGGCTGCCGGAGACTCTGTTCGAAATTGTAGGACAAGGCCCAGCGCCGAGCAAAGACTATTACCAGTTATTGGTCACCCGGTCCCAGGCAAGTGCGAGGCGCGGTTTACCCTCTCTAAGCTCCCTGCCGCCCCGGTGGAGCGTGGAACGCTAGCCCCGCTAGGCCGAGAGCGACTGTGGCCCGCCGGAAGCGTCCGGTCCCAGCTCCGAGCCGGGAGATTTCCCTCGTCACCTCGGCCTCCTCGGCCGGCTCCTCCGTAGTCCGCGTGCCTTTTCCCACCCCAAGGGCCGCTCGTCCCTGGCGAGCTTTCCTGCCTCCCCACATCGCACCCCGCTCCCTTCCTGCCACCGAGGGTTCCTACCCGCAGAGTTCCCTCCGCGCGAAGAGAAAAACAGGCGTCCCCGGCTTGCGTGCAGCCTCACCTCAGCGTGGGAAGGAGAGAAAGAAAGACTCAGCCAAGTGTCCCAAGGAGGAGCCGGCAGGGGAGGGGAGAAAGGGAAGATCTCTTTTCCAGGGTAGGAGTTAATCATGGGGGATTTTTAAAATCTCATTGTGGTCTTTACGGGTACCACGACCACCTCAAAACTTCCTTATTTCTAGTAGGAATTGATCGTTGAGAGCTCTCCCCTTACCTTTTTGGAGCCCCTTCTATCCCATTGAAAGTGTGCGGGGGGTGGTACAAAAATGTTTCAGCTGCTCTGCGCGTCGGCCCCACCCATAATGACATCTGCTCCACAACAATAAGACCGAGGATTATGTTATCGCTGGAGTGAAGTAACCATCAGCCTATTTTTGTGACTACTTTAGCTATTTAAGGTGGGCTTTTGGATGATTTATTGTGCCCATGAAATGATCAAGTTGAACTGGGCCTCCACTCGGAACCCGTTTTCTGATTCCTGGCTGAGCTTAAGCCGGTCACTGAGATAAAGCACCTTGTACTTTAATAGATGGTATTTCTATAAAATGAAATTTAGAACTTTGTATATATTTGTTTTAGTGTAGATCTTGAATATTGCATCAGTTTTCCCGTGAGCCCTTAAGTAGGTAGAGAATGCTTTTTTTATAGCTTCAAAAGCATCAAAGTAAAAATACATATTTTATTGTTTAAACTTGAGATGTTTAAATATTGCAAGTGTAGTGTCAGTAATAAAAGCGTGATAGCCTATCAAACTTAAATATTTGATTGAACATTTTGGGGGGAATTTTTACACATTTAATTAGAATTTCTTAAAAGCTGAAATTCACTGTTTTGTACATTTTGGGACTATCTTCCATTTGTTCTAAGAGGTATGATCCTAACAGTTTCTTACTTTCTAACATTAGTGATTGAAAGCAATAACATGTTACCATAGTCATACTTCATTTTCTCTTTTCATCTACCTCACGTAAGTTAAAATGTTCTAATGTTTACAGTCTTTTCCATAATTTGTCTTTTAAACATTTTTTTGAGATTTTTCTTTTTCTTGAAGGTCTGGTATTACAAGTGTTATAATGTTGTAAGCCTCAACAAATGAATAGTTGTTTACTTTTTTATTTTAGTAAATTAACCATTAAGAGTGCCTGGCATTAGTTTTCCCCAGGAATGCTTCCCTTGTTGATGTCGTTCAGACTTTGCTCTGTAGTCTAACTTGGGCACATGCCTGTGTTTTATGAAATCCCCCCCTCCCCCCACGCAAGTATTCTTAATTTTTTTCTCTTTCCTTCTTTTTTTTTTTTTTTTTTTTAACAGATCAAAAACTGGTTTTTATTTCAGGCCCTATTCTTCCTGTCAATTGCTTCTATAAAAAATCCTTTTCAAGCTGATCCATTTTCTTTTTTAAGCAGATGGAATATATCCACTATAGTTCTACCAGTGAGAGTTCATCTCAAATCTGATTAATTCACTCTCTTTTTAAAGTAAAATTTGTTGTAAAAAATAGTAAGCCAAAAAAATAGTCTTTTCAGTCAACCGTCTTGAGAATATGCTATTTTCTAACCACAGGATAATTTTTCTAAGTCTCAGCACAGGAAACCAAACATCCACTAAGAGGTGGTCTGACATAAATAAGGACTAAAAGACTAGAATTGAACTATGTTTTATAAGATGGACTTTTTCTGGAATGACTTTGTAAAATTTTTCCTTTCTCTTTCTTCTTTTATTTTTTTAAAAATATTGTATGTTATTCAAAATATACCCCAGATTTAGATAGATCTTTCTTTCCCTCTGATTCTCTTTTTTATTCTTTTTCACTGCTTTTATTTTTATTGACTTCAAATTCAAATGATTGCACATTTGACATGGATTTGAAGACAGGTATCTCTCTCATTAGGGTCAGACCATGGTTGGTATAGCACAGAATATAAATGTTGTACATAAATAATTTCTTTGCTTCTTATACAGTAACATTAAATATATATCTTAATGCTTATAGAGGCATTCCCAGTTAACCACTTGATGCTATGATGTTTTGTTTTTTTCCCAAGAAAGGAACTTATAAAATATAGCTTGTGGTTAATATGGCTTCTCAAATTCAATTTTTTTTTTTAATGTTTATTTACTTATTTTGAGAGACAGCAAGCAGGGTGTGCAAGTTGAGGAGGGTTGACAGAAAGGAAGAGAGAGAATCCCAAGCAGGCTCTGCAGTGACAGCACAGCCCCCAATGCTGGGGACTTACAGACTGAGACTCAGACTTACAAACTGGGAAATCATGACCTGAGCCAAAATCAAGAGTTAGTCGCTTAACCAACTGAGCCACCAGGCACCCTTCAAATTCGATCTTTATAATGATCTTAGAAAAATCAATGCCCTGCTTTCTAAATCAAAGGTTTACCCAATTATTTTCACCTAGTTTTAGTAGTAAATATATTTTCTTATGTTGGATTCTAATTCTTTGAAAACTAGTAGATTAATAGTAAGAGCTGGAAAGAACCTTGAATGTTATTTAGGCAAGGGATATTCCACACTTCACCTCTAAGAAAATCTTAAATCGTGACCCTTTGCTTAATTATAATCAGCAAGTTGGCATTTACTATGGGGATGCAAAATATAAGATTTCTGCCTTCAAAGAGTTCATCTTTCATTCCACCAATATGTATTAAGCACCTTTTAAAGTTTATTTATTTATTTTAAGAGAGAGAGCGATTCCCAAGCAGCCTTGGAGCCCAGCACAGGGCATGAACTGTGAGATCAAGACCTGAGCTGAAATCAAGAGTCTGATGTTTAACTGACTGAGCCACCCAGGTGCCCAAGCACCTTTTATATACCTTTTATATGTACTGTTCTAGATGCTGGGGAAACATCAGTGAACCAAACAAAAGTCCCTCCTCTCTGAAGCATATAATCTAGGTAGGAGCAAACAGTTAGTGATTTGATTTATATAAACACTGAAATAGTTTTTTTTTTTTAAGAACAGAGGAAGTTCATCGCCAAGTTAATAAGTAGCACAGATGCTTTAAAATCCGAGTCCAGGGACACCTAGGTGGCTCAGTCAGTTGAGTATCTGACTTTGGCTCGGGTCAGGATCTCGCGGTTCGTGGTTTCCAGCCCTGCATCGGGCTCTGTGCTGACAGCTCAGAGCCTGGAGCCTGCCTCAGATTCTGTCTCCCTCTCTCTCTGCCCCTCTCCCCCCCTTCTCTCCCTCTCCCCCCTTCTCTCCCTCTCTCAAAAATAAATAAACATTAAAAAAACTTTTTAAATAAATTTTGAGTTCAGAGGAAACAAAAATCACTTTAGGCTAGGAGGCTCAGGAGGGTACTATTATCAATATTTGACTCTTGAAATGGAAGTATTGCTTAAGGTGGTCACAACTAGTGGCTTAGGTTTAATGTGACAAATACTGGAAAACTGCGGGAAGCATTAACTGTAAGCTAAGTAGATGAGAATTGGCGGATACTGGCCTCTTGCACCTGTGTTAGACTGTTGTCCCTGGAGCGGCAACGTGTGATAGTCACCCCAGCAAATGAAAAGAGGAAGAATTGCATAATAGATGACCTTAATTTACCTATTTTACTTAATCCTCCTAAAGACTCCAATAAGATACCTAAAGCAATGTCATCTGGAAAAAAAATTCCAAAAGTTCATTCCCCCCAAAATAACCAATATTTTTGACATGCTTTAGAGTTGCAGCACTGACAGACTGAAAACACCTGAGGTCGCAGGCCAACCTGCGACAGGAAACTGTCTTCTCCAAAGACTCTCTCTCTCTCTCTCTGTCTCTGTCTCTCTCTCTCTGTCTCTCTCTCTCTCTTTCTCTCTCTCTGCCCCTCCCCCACACAGGCTGTCTCCAAATAAATAAATTAAAAAAAAAGAAACTAGACTTGGTGACTGACGTTTAGACTTTGCAACAAAGAATCTTGCAGGTACTACTTAAAACTGCACAGCAATTTTAAAGATACAAGATTCAAGTACAGCCTAATAAAAATGTTAATACATACACCCTTTGACCCTGCAAATCCATTTCTAGGATTTTCTATGCAAAAATGCTTTCACATAAGTACTAGGATCTGTGAGCAAGAAGCTCACCAGAGTGAAATAATTGTAAAAACATCTTTCCATTAGTGGAAATTTGGTTAAACTGTGAATCATTCATACCGTAGAATACTCTGCAACCTTTTAAAAAACAACGTGCCAGATCTCTTCAGTAGACCAAATCTTAAGCAAGAAAAGCAAGTTGCTGGGTTAAACATATCCTATAGGAAAAAACAGCCACCAGAGTAGTTTTATTTTTTTTAATAAATGTTAATGGCGTTTAAATAAGTGTAAGAGGAAACAGCTGAAGTGCATCACTCAGAGATGGAATTAGTGATTGCTTTCACTTCCTGCATTATGTATTTTTTTTTTATTTTTGAGAGCGAGACAGCACAAGCTGGGGAGGGGCAGAGAGAGAGGGAGACAGAATCTGAAGCAGGCTCCAGGCTCTGAGCGGTCAGCACAGAGCCCAACGCGGGGCTCAAACTCATGAACCGTGAGATCGTGACCTGAGCTGAAGTTGGACGCTCAGCCAACTGAGCCACCCAGGGGCCCCTGCATTATGTGTTTTTGAAAGATCCGAGTTTTTGTACAATGAGCATTTATTTTTGTAATCAGAGAAAAGCAGGAAAAATGAAA